TTTGTAACACCACTAAATACAGAGGATACCCATAATAATATCCAAGCTGTTTTGGTATTCTTGGTATTTTTAAGTTATAGTTGAAATATAAGTCTGATTTGATGTTTTTAACATATAACTGAAATGCAAGTTGGCTAAAAAAAATTTGCATTTGTGAATAGCAACAAAAATTATTTCAGACAGCGATTTTGCTAACATTCAATATGGTGGCTATAATGGTTATATATCCGGCTATGATAGCACTTGATCTTCGAAGGCGACGTTCGGGGCGACGTGATTTGGGGTGTTGCTGTATGGGAAGCCCTGCCGAAGCTAAAAAGGTTTGCTGCTGTGATATTAGGCTTTTTTTGATGTAAAAGTAAGGAAAGATGAAAGGTTGAAATAAGTGGAAAAAAAAGTAAACTGAAGCTTAGCTTTTATACATGAAACTAATAAACGTAATAGTACCAGTAGTAATAGTAATAATAATATTGGTACCACCGAGGCAGTTAACATAGGTTTCCCACTGTTAGTAATGTTACTGGAGTATATATATATATATATCTCCTGGTCAAGACAGACGTCAGTGTCAACTTCTTCCAAGTCAGCACCGTTTATCTGCAATCTGGTCGTAGACATACTGTCATTTTTCATCACTTTTGTTTTCGATGCATTAATTTTAGACCTAAGTTTTGTTCCTTCGTGTGCCGAGCTGTTGCGCGGCATCTCGGTTATCTCGTCAGATTTGCTCGCAATAGGAAATGTTTTTATGGCAAAGCTGAGTTGTTCTAACTACTCATCATTCTTCTCCTGGCCAACTTTTCAGGCCAAATTCCGAAATACCGTTTTGAGACAGGTCGTAAAAAGATTGAGCAGCATGAAATCGATCTCACCTTACGCTCCTAGCCAGAGATGTAACGATATAGATGAATAGTAATATTAGATGATAATAAGTAGTAAGTAATAATAATAGTAATAATAATAACAGTAATAATAATAGTAATAATAATGGTAATAATAATGGTAATAATAATGGTAATAATAATAATAACAATAATAATAATGATAATGATAATAATAATAATAATAATAATGATAATAATAATAATCATAATCATAATGAGTAACAGTTTATAAAAGCGAATAGTAACTATTATCTATGACTACATCCCCGGTAAATTGGGCCTTTTCCATGAGTATTTTTAGTATTCACTGATGATTTTATAGTTATTCTATATGCTTTTACTGCTACTTAAATAGCAGTCGCAGATAATGTATTTATAGTCGAAGTAAAGTGCTGAGCATAAGAAAAAAACTGAAAAGCAGAAAAGCAGAATTCTGTAATTTTATGGAAAAATTTTGCAGCTTGGTGCAGAATCTCTGGAAATTACATCCGGAAACCGTACAGTGAGTGACTTATCCATAGCCGGTCATCTCTATCCAGTCCCACCGCCTGCGCTGATGCTGAAGAAAGCTGGTTACGATGATGACGGTGATGAGAACAAAAAGTGGTATACACTAACCGGCTTTCTTCGTTACTACTATATTCCGTTCTTGGAAAGACCATTAACGAAGGTTAGAACGCTTAATTTTCTTAAATGCTTTACGAGGAACCAAGAAATTAGAAATATTTATATGTTGTAAAAAAAGAAACTAAGTCCGTCAACACTAGCGACAAAATGAAGAAGGAAAATGGTTGTCTGTTGTAGCACTGGTGAAGATATTAAATATAATGAATATGTACAGTAATAGTGAACCAAGTAGCCTTCTCAAGTATGAGAAAGCGAATTACTGCTGCCTGTTTTCACTATGTGTTTACAGCTAAGGGATGAAACACAGAATGTTTGCTCACATATTCGTTTAGCACATGCCACAAATGTTCGACCCTCACTAATAATCTTATATCGGCTAGTAAAAAAAGCTAAATCTTTCTGTAGGCGGATCGAATTATCCTTGTTCCAGTGGCGGATCTATTCCAGTCCAATTAACCGGTCGATTAGAGAGATTCGATTTTTGCCGGAAGTTGATTTAAACCAGTCTTTATCTGGAATATCTGAAGTAACCGTTTTTTCGTGACTTGGATCAATATCAGTGCAATTGGAACTTTCCCATGGCCTAGGAACTTGTTTTTTTCCGCACCCGCGTCAATCCGTACATTCGAATGTTGTCGATGCAAAAAGCTGAGCTGATCCAACTGAATCGACCCATACACGCCGTTTTTTGCTTTTTATTTTTTTAGCTATTACTGAGATTTTTGTTTCAGTTAATGGTAATCGTGGCATGCTCGTCGATGTTTCTGTTCGGTTGTCTCGGCCTCTATCAGTCCACGCTTGGCTTGGAACTATCGGATGTTTTACCGGAAGGAACTGCACCTGCAGCATTTTTGCGTGCCCGTGAGCAATATTTCAGTTTTTATCCGATGTATGCGATTTTGAAAGGCAATGAAATTGATTTTCCTGAGCAACAAGAACAAATCGAGCAGTATCGTTTGGATATTGGTAAGAATTTTTTCGTCAATTCTCCCCTAAGATTTGTGTTTTTTGTGGGTATCCGTCGTATGAAAGCGCCCTGGGTGTCACAAACATCTGCGAAAGCCAGCAAGAATTGCAAGAATTTTGCGCTGTACATCCATAACGCATTAGGCAGTGCAAAGTGATGTGCATGCGAGTAGCACACATACGGATATTGGTGCTTTAGTTGTTGCATAGAGCACAAGAGCCGGTAGTGTAGTGGATAACATGTCCTGGTTTAAAAGATCTAGGGATAGTGGAGGTGGAAGGTTCGTTTCCTCCCCGCTCCGTTCCCGTTTTTGCAAAGGGTTTGGTTTGCAACACCAGTAACATTACTAGTCCGGGATTTTGAGCATATGGGATTGAGGAGAGAGAGAGGATTTTAAGCCCGTGGACAGGTAAAAAATCGTCATGAAAGTGTTGGTTTTTCTCAGTTTACTTAGTTTTTTTTGGCTGATATTGGCACTTTTTTGCTGTTTTTACAATTTTCGAGAATCGCTGCAGCACCACTTTTCCAGTCTGTTGTTTTTTCGCGTGTGATTTGTGCAGAACAATCGAGTATGTGAGTGCTGAAAACATTCAGTTTCACTTTCTTTTTCTATAAACTTCCCATTTATCCTCCTTTTATGCCCTGTTACATCCCATCTTGTTCCGATTTATTCCGGTATAGGACCTTCGATTTCTTATCGAAATATCGCACTACGGACGCATGATACTATCGGGATAACACCAAAAAAGTCCCGTCTTAAATGTGTTGTTGATAACCGATGTTTTAATTTTTCCAGCAAAATCGAATTACGTGATCAAAGTGAATGGGCATCCAAGCGAGGAATACTGGATGTCGATGATGAGAGCATGGCTAAATTCAATCCAAAAGCATCTTAATGATGCTCTCAAAAAAGGCGACATTGATCCGGTAACTGGTCAGATCAAACCTGGCGCTAAGATTTCCGAAGAAGCGAAGATTGCACGACGGCTGGTGTGCTCATACGGCAACAATTATAACTGCACTGGAAGAGTAAGCTCTTTAAACCATTCTTTTTGAGTATCTGTTTTCGCATAGTTCGTAATTTTTGAACCTAAAAATACTGTAAAACTAATAAAAAATAAAAATAATACGTAAAAATAATATAAATTGGTACTCGCAAAGAGATAAATGACCACTGGAACGACCTTTGAAGAAATAGAATGAAGCATGCTAAATGTAATTAAATCAAATTTTTGATGGGGGAATAATCAAAAATTGCATGTGTATGTGAGATATTGAATGGGAGGGGTGAAGCTGTTCACAAAAAAAGGGAAAAAAAGGTGCCGGAATATGCCAGGAAGTTAAACCAACCATCAGCTTGCTTGTAAGCAACCCGCAAAAGAGGGAATGGTTTGCTGGCATTCTCTGCACTCGGCTATTTCTCGAGTGTTTCCGCCGCTTGTAGTAAGCGAATACAGAATGAATTTTAATGTTATTTTGGTTTATTTTTAGATTAGCAAGATAAAGCTGGTGAATGGTGCTGGTTGGATCAATGCTGATGGATTTTATAACTATCTAACAGCTTGGTACAACGTCGACAATATGATGTACTACGTATCACAAGCTGCTTTCTATCCAACGCCACCACCTTGGGCACTTACAGCGGTTAGTTTTTTTTTTCCAGAATTCCAATGTGTTTTATGCGTTTGCTGCTGGCAACATCTGCACAAAACATACGGGATTGCCTGTGTATGTATATATGTGTGTGTATGTATGTATGTATGTATGTATGTATGTATGTGTGTTTGCATGTATGTGTGTATGTATGTATGTATGTATGTATGTATGCATGTATGTGTGTTTGCATGTATGTGTGTATGTATATATGTATGTATGTACGTATGTATGTATGTATGTGTGTATGTATGTATGTATGTATGTATGTATGTA